GGGGGGGGGGGTGGGGGCGGAGGCGCGACCCTTCTGTGCGGGGGCAGGGGAGGAGTGCGGCGGCCTCGGGTGGCAGTCGGGGGAGGGGTGGCGATCTCGTCTAGATCTCGGCTAGACGTCGGCTAGACGTCGGCCACATCTCGGTCATCTCGGACAGATCTCGCCTCGTCGACGAGGGCGAGCTGGCCCTGCGCGATGTCGCTCAGCAGCAGCCGGATGGCCTACAGGGCGGGACACGCCGAGATGGCGAGATGTCTCGGCGAATCTCGGCGAATCTCGGGCGGATCTCGGCGAATCGGGGCGAATCGCGGCTAGTCTTGCGCACATCGTCCCCGTCCCCGAGGGGCGAGGCAGGCGGGGCTAGCGGCGACGTCGGCGGGCCAATGGAGTCGAGGAGACCAAGCTCGCCGCCGGAGAAGCAGTAGTGGCCGGTCTCTGCAAGCTGGTCGTCGGGCGTGTGGCCGGCGCAGGCGGCGGAGGAGGCCGTAGCGCACGCGGCAGAGGAGGAGGCGGCCGCGGAGTCAGACGGGTCGGCGGCGGCAGACAGGGCGGCGGCGGCGATGGAGCGGGCGGCGGCGGCGCGAGAGGCTGCGGCGGGCGAGGCGGGCACCTCGGGCCCCAGCGCCGTCTCCCGAGGCCCCTCCTGCAGCGGTCCGTCCTGCAGCGCGCCGTCCGGTGCGCAGTCGGAGTCTTTCTGGTGTGGCTCGAGCGCGGTCGCCCAGCCCGCCGCCGCTGCGCCCTCCGACAGGGACGAGTCGACGTGCGGCGCGGGAGAAGGGGGCGCGGCGGCGGCAGGGGCGGGGGAGGGGCGCGCGGCGGCGACGGAAGATGGAGAGCCGGCCGCTGATGCGAGCGAGGCGGGGGGGGGCGCGGGTAGCTTCTTGCGGTCGGGCACCTCGCCGCGCTCTCCAGACGTGCGTGAGCGGCAGCGCGGCAGCTCCGATGATGGGGCGGCGGGCGGGGCGGGCGAGGCGGTCTTGCGGCCCGGCTGGTCAAAGCGCAGCTTCCTGGCCTCTCGCGAGAGGCGGGGGCCGGGCTGTGCGGGCAGGCTCCCCGCCTGCGTCGTGCCAAGCACCGGAGGTCGGGGCGGGAGGACGGTCTCGTGCAGCGTACCCCGAGCACGCGTTGGTACGCGGGCGGCGAAGTCAGTGCGCACAGCGGAGTGCAGCTGGGTGCTACATACAGCTGAATGCGGATTCTCTAGAGTCCCCAACTACAGGGGGCTGCATCGCATCTACACCCTCCCACCGTGGCGGGCGCAAACTCGGACGAGGGCGGCGCAGCCTTGCGCTTGCCCGCCGCCTTGGCGCTCTCCCCAGCTGTCACGCTCAGGCCGCTGCCCGCCGCGATCGGCCGCAACGCCGACGCCGCCAGATCCTCGGCGCGGGCCTGGTTTGATGCCTGGAGCAAGGCTGCCAGCCCGCTGACAAACTCGCCCACTCGCTCGTCGGCGACGGAGTGCGATCCCGACGGAGGCGAGGCGTGCACGCTCGAGGTGTCCTACGGCCGAGGTGGAGCCGAGGTAGAGCCGAGGTAGAGCCGAGGTAGAGCCGAGGTAGAGCCGAGATAGAGCCGAGATAGAGCCGAGGTGGAGCCGAGGTAGAGCCGAGATAGAGCCGAGATAGAGCCGCCTGCTGCAGACACAAGGCCGCCACCTGCAGGCTGGGCGGGAGCAGCTCGTCCAGATCCTCGCCCTCGCCCAGCAGCGCAGCGGCGACGCCAGACGAGGGGGCGGACGGCGGCGTGAGGCCGCTCCTGGCGCCGGAGGTGAAGCGCGCAAAGTCATCCGGGCTCGACTTGGCGTCGGGGGGGGAGGGGGCCTCCTCCTCTTCCTCCTCCTCCTTCCCCTCCTCTGCCGCCACCTCCTCCGCCTCCGCCTTCGCCTTCACGACAGCCCTCGCATACGCCACCGCCGCCTCCACCGCCGTATCGAAGGTGCCGATGTGCCTGGAAATGCCGCCCACCACGTGCCCCGCCCGGAAGCCTCCGCCCGAGAGGACACCGGCGTCCTGCCGCACGCCCTTGTAGCCGGTGGCGCTTTTGCTCGAGAGGTGGAGCTGCAGCCCCTCCGCCTCCGCGACAGGAGTCTTGCACTTGGCTGCCTCGCCCGCCGCGCGCTGGGAGGCCGACTTGGTTGCTTGGGGCCTAGTGGCGAAGCACCGAGTAATCAATTGATGAATGAATGGACACAGTACAACCTAGCATGAAGAGTAGTCAGCAATGAATAGGGGAGGGCGCAGACTTGGCCGCGCGAGGACTCGCTGCGCTGGCGGAGCCGGCAGGCTGCCGTCCGGGCTCCGGTCGGCCTCGCCTCTTCTTGCGCTTCCCCTCCTCCTTGTCTTTGGGCTTGGGAGGAGGAAGAGGGCAAAACCCCTCCTTGTCGTCAGCACCGCGTCCATCATGGCAGAGCCAATCCTGCCCTTCCTCCTCGGCGAGTCTCGCCTCTTTGATGCTGTCGAAGCCGGCGCACTGAACGCATGCCCATTGCGGACAATCGACGTCGCAGCGGCCGGAGCATTTGACGGCGTCCCATACAGGTTTGCCCGCCTGCTCGCGCGCCAGTGGTGTGAGAGATCTGGTCGGGTCTGGGCGGGTCTGGGCTGGTCCCGCACCTCGTCGTCGAGGGCTCTGCCGCATATGACGCAGATGGGGGGGCAGGGAGGGTCGGCCGCGTTGTACAGGCCGGCGGACGGAGTGAGGCTCGTCAAGAGCTGCGTCGGGTGGAAGCTCTTCTTGGGCGTGCGCTCGAAGATGCCGCCTTGGGACCCGCCATGAGGTCGAGGTGAGGTCGAGATGGGGTCGAGACATGAGCCGAGATGGGGTCGAGATGAGGTCGAGATGAGGTCGAGGTGAGGTCGAGATATGAGCCGAGATGGGGTCGAGATGAGGTCGAGATGCGCCGGGATG